CACCAGCCTCAAGCTTCCAGGAATCTCCTTCGGCTTTGCCTGGCACTTCTGCGGCGCCTCCATCTACAACGAGAACTGGGCCATCTGCGCCGGCCACTGCGTCCAGGGCGAGGACATGAACAACCCCGATTACCTTCAGGCGAGTCTCATCTCAATATGTTCAATAATAATGATAATAAAAATAGTAATTTAAACAAAAATCTTGCATTTACAAAACGCTCATTGAAATTGTCTTTAATGTTATCACAGGTCGTTGCCGGAGAACTTAACCAGGATGTGGATGAGGGCACCGAGCAGACGGTCATCCTCTCCAAGATCATCCAACACGAGGACTACAACGGCTTCACCATCAGCAACGACATCTCCCTGCTCAAGCTGTCTCAGCCTCTGAGCTTCAATGACAACGTTCGCGCCATCGATATTCCCGCTCAGGGTCACGCTGCCTCTGGCGACTGCATCGTGTCCGGCTGGGGCACCACCTCCGAGGGAGGAAGCACCCCCAGTGTCCTGCAGAAGGTGACCGTTCCCATCGTGTCTGACGACGAGTGTCGCGATGCTTATGGCCAGAGCGACATTGAGGACTCCATGATCTGTGCCGGAGTGCCCGAGGGCGGCAAGGACTCGTGCCAGGGTGACTCTGGCGGCCCCCTTGCCTGCTCTGACACCGGCTCCACCTACCTGGCCGGCATCGTGTCCTGGGGCTACGGCTGTGCCCGTCCCGGCTACCCTGGCGTGTACGCTGAGGTCTCCTACCATGTCGATTGGATTAAGGCCAATGCTGTTTAATCAAGTTGTTTAACATGTACTTACCTTGAAAGCAATAAAGAAAAAAAATATATGCATGTGAACATCAATCACCTGATTATCTAAAATGACCGAAAACTACAATTTAGAGTAGTTAAACATTTGCAGTCTACGATCCGATGTGACCTGCAAGTAAAATTAAATTGATTCTTATTAACTAGTCTTCCATTTCGGGAATGAGTCCATAGTTAGATGTAAACATGATATTTGAAGTTTGCTGGTCTAAGCTCTGTCTTCGAGAAGTTCTAGGAAACACAGGGCACTAATAGCACCTTATTCTCTCATAAATAAAGAAACGCCACCTTTTTGTAGGACTTGCCTCTCATTCAGAGTTCATCATCCATCATAGTTCTTCCTCTACTCATTTGCCAAACAACTGGGGGACATAGAAGTGAGTTGTGATGACAAGTGCGTCCATGTCAGCAGTCGTGAAATCTGCATCTCTTGGTAGATGAATCAGCACTCGCAGAAAAATGTGCAATATATATATATATATATATATATATATATATATATATATATATATATATATATATATATATATATATATATATATATATATATATATATATATATATATATATATATATATATATGGAGAGAGAGAGAGAGAGGTTGCCTTTTAAGATTAAAAATTCTTACGATGTGACTCAGTTTATTGGTGCTTGCTGTTGATACAATAAGTGCCACAACTCGCTCAAGTCGGTTTTCAAAAGGAGTTATTAGTCGTATACAAGCTCTCTCAAAACCGTGGCATCTATGGGTATAGTCCTTCTGAAGCTGAACTGTTGTGGAATCGAAACTGAACTGGTACAACTGAAAGGTAAAAAATGCATAACATGTTCTTCGCAAAATATCATCACTAGATTATTTAACATTCACAAATTCAATTTCTCTTACCGGTTTAAGGAGTTCCACGGGCAAATACCGAGAGATGAAACTCTCTTCTCACTGCCAAACATAATGATTATCTGCCATGTGGCGATGGTTAACCTATACTCCACCCTTAACCTATGCATCAGTCATCTCTCTACGAGAGTTGTTAATCCTTAGTATAAACATGCTGTGTATTTTTATGGCATTTCTATGCTCTCCATATACTGTTATGATTTATACTTTACAGAAAGACAATCCCACATACCTGCCGATCTAAGAGTTTTAAGCAGGAAACGGTACAGTTCTTGGCCCAAGAATTCTTGCCCAACCGAACCTCTGCTTTAGATGTGAAATCACTATTTTTTATGTGCATTCTACAAGCCATGTTGATTGTGTATGCTAATATCCTGAATGATTCCTTATACAAAATTTCCTATCATCGACGCCTTGCAAAGAGGCTTGTAATGGAGAGTATATACTTGGGCCATTCCTGATATTCATAAAGATTATGGGGATTCATTAATGATGCAATATATTCCATTATGGATTCTTTTATTATTTGATCCAGTTAGATTTAAACAGCATTGGCCTTGATCCAATCGACATGGTAGGAGACCTCAGCATACACGCCAGGGTAGTTGGGACGGGCACAGCCGTAGCCCCAGGACACGATGCCGGCCAGGTAGGTGGAGCCGGTGTCAGAGCAGGCAAGGGGGCCGCCAGAGTCACCCTGGCACGAGTCCTTGCCGCCCTCGGGCACTCCGGCACAGATCATGGAGTCCTCAATGTCGCTCTGGCCATAAGCATCGCGACACTCGTCGTCAGACACGATGGGAACGGACACCTTCTGGAGGGCACTGGGGGAGCTGCCTCCTTCAGTGAGAGCGCCCCAGCCGGACACGATGCAGTCGCCAGAGGCAGCGTGACCCTGAGCGGGAATATCGATGGCGCGAACGTAGTCGTTGAAGCTCAGAGGCTGAGAAAACTTGAGCAGGGAGATGTCGTTGCTGATGGTGAAGCCGTTGTAGTCCTCGTGTTGGATGATCTTGGAGAGGACGACCGTCTGCTCGTTGCCCTCATTCACGTCGAAGTTATGCTCTCCGGCCACGACCTGAAGGTGGTCATCATAAAGGAATTAGAAGCAAACAACTTGAATAAATAGTCCAGTCACAGCTCTGTTCATATGCCTTCCATTTCTAGGAAACCTACATATTATGGGTTCGACTCGTTGAGAAAGTAATCAATGCCATAACCAATTCATGCCATTTCATAACACTCACTGGCGTCTGTTGAATAAATCTGTCTGGATATTTAGATATTCAGATATACATTATATTTTATGGAACCATAGAACTTGCCTGAAGGTAGCTGGGATTATCAAAGTCGTCGCCCTGGACGCAGTGACCAGCGCAGATGGCCCAATTCTCGTTGTAGATGGAGGCGCCGCAGAAATGCCAGGCGGTCCCCCAGGAGTTGTCCTGGAAGCTGAGCTGGTAAGGCAGCTCCCCAGGAGTGACCTCACTTCCTCCGACGATCTTGTTGAGACCGCGACGGAAGGTGGGCTTCCTGGAGGGGGCGGCTGAGGGAATTCATCAAATATGTCAATGTCACACACGCACACAAATATAATAAAAAATAAAGAAAAACGACCTAGAAAATGATTCACACATCTATCCAAATACATTAGTGTGTGTATGGTATGTTTTTATGAATTGGGAATGGAGATCAAGCAACAATAACATTACTCCGTAAGCGAACATCATCCTGGTTTGAAGTGTGTGAATAAAAAAAAAAGCAATACTCCTTGATAACTCAAAATTCTCTATCCTGTTGACTCAGAGGCTGAAGCAGAGCCATGCTGTTCCAGAGGCACTCACCGAAGGCCCCGGCGAGGAGCAGGCAGAGCACGAGAGACTTCATGGCTGGTCACTGGTGGAGAGTGGGACTTGCAAGCAAGCTTTATACTAGCCACAAGGACTTTCCCAAGCCTGTTATCACCAGCTGTATCTTGAAGTGTGCAGTCGAAGTTTTTTTCGGTCTATAAAATACAACCGGGTAATTTTCAAGGTTTCTATATGGATTTAACTTAATTGTTAATCGTCATGATTAACAATTTATGTCTTCAAATATCATAGTCAGTGGTCCACCTGCTTCCGTGCGCCGTTAAATATTTGATTTTTATGTTGCACAATCTGAGAACCTTGCTATCTGTGTGTGTGCGTGTGCGTGTTTCGTCAACATGTGAAATGTTTCACACAAGTATATTTTCCCTTAAGTTCAGCATTGCCTTACCGAGGTATAAGTGAATTATTTTGCTGCCAAAGGCCAACCATTAAGAAAAGATATTACAGAAAGCAAAACGCTATCAGTATATAAAAAAAAAAAAAAAAAAAACAATCAGTCGTTCTACATTTTTTTTTCTTAACAGCTCAGTATGCATAGTATAAAATATACATAATATAATATATATATATATATATATATATATATATATATATATATATATATATATATATATATATATATATATATATATATATATATATATATATATATATATATATATATATATATATATATATATATATATATATATATATATAATGTATATATATATATATATATATATATATATATATATATATATATATATATATATATATATATATATATATATATATATATATATATATATATATATATATATGTATATATATGTATATATATATTATATATATGTATATACAATATTATATATATATATATATATATATATATATATATATATATATATATATATATATATATATATAATATATATATATATATATATATATATATATATATATATATATATATATATATATATATATATATATATATATATATATATAAACTACCGTAACCTGACTTATTTTTCTAATGTGTAATACTTTGAGAATTGATAAATTGAATTAAGTATTGAAGACCTTTGGTAATCAATGCAATATCCAAATAAAAATAATAATAAACATAAATGAAAAATAATGTAAATATATGTGTTGTGTTTCAATTATTCACCGCAAGTTGAGATTTACTTTTCATATCTACATAAATATTAAAAGAAAAATCAGGATGCAACAGGCAGTCAGTCATGTTGATAGAGGAGTTAGAATAAATAAAGGAAAAGCACTGGTGTCTTCAATTGATAAAATAGCACTCGATGGTATTTGAATTACTCTGCGCAAAGAACTGTAATAATGCAATCTAATATAAAGTGTAACCAAAAAAGAACGTGTTACTGCAGCAAATGCCAACAAACACCAGCCAAGCGCATTCAGACAAGATAACGTAGACCTCTCCCCACTGAATTGTGGTCTAGTAAAGAAGTGGTTGTCCAGCATACTAGAAAATAAGCATACTGGCAAAATGCTTCATCTGTGCAGGATATCAGTATTTGCATCGTTTTCAACTAGAAGAGAAATCTGAAAGCTTTTCTGGCATGATGATGCAGTGCTAGCTTGCCTGTTGTTTTGAAATGTGCATCCCACTGTTACCAACCGCCAATGGGATGACCTCCCCCTTAATGCATCAGTTATCTCTCTACGAAGTTGTTTGTGGGAATACTTGTCTATTTTTGAAACCCCCAGTATGTGTATGTGATCCAAGCGTTTTAAGCAGGAAACGGTACAGTTCTGGCCTATCGGCAAGAAGTCTTGCCCAACCGAACTCCTGCTTTAAATGCTGATAGATCTCTTGCAGTATGAAATCACTCTTTTTTATATGCATTCTACAAGTCATGTTGATTTTGTATGCTAATATCCAGAATGATTCCTCATAGAAAGTTTTGTATCATCGACGCTTTGCAAAGGGCTGGTAATGGAGAATATATTACTTGGGCCATTCTTAATACTCATAAAGATTATAAGAATTCATAAATGATATCGTACGTTTTATTTTGAATTCATAAA